GGTATCTGGTGTCTGGTATCTGGTATCTGGTATCTGGTATCTCGTATCTCGTTTCTTCTGGTGTCTGGTATCTGGTATCTGGTATCTCGTATCTGGTGTTTGGTATCTGGTATCTGGTGTCTGGTGTCTGGTATCTGGTATCTGGTATCTCGTATCTCGTTTCTGGTGTCTGGTGTCTGGTGTCTGGTGTCTGGTATCTGATGTCTGGTATCTGGTGTCTGGTATGGTATCTGGTATCTGGTATCTGGTGTCGGTATCTGGTATTTGGTATCTGTTATCTCTTTATCTGGTTTTCTGGGGCTGGTATCTGGTATCTCGTATCTGGTATCTGGTATCTGGTATCTCGTATCTGGTATCTGGTTTCTGGTGTCTGGTATCTGATGTCTGGTATCCGGTATCCGGTGTCTGGTATCTGGTATCTGGTGTCTGGTATCTGATTCTGGTATCTGGTATCCGGTATCTGGTGTCTGGCATCTGGTATCTGGTATCTGATGTCTGGTATCTGGTGTCTGGTATCTGGTATCTGGTATCTGGTGTCTGGTATCTTATTTGGTATCTGTTATCCTTATCTGGTATCTGGTTTCTGGTGGCTGGTATCTGGTATCTCGTATCTGGTGTTTGGTATCTGGTATCTGGTGTCTGGTATCTGGTATCTGGTATATCTCGTATCTGGTATCTGGTTTCTGGTATCTGATGTCTGTATCTGGTATCTGGTGTTGTGGTGTCTGGTATCTGGTATCTGGTGTCTGGTATCTGGTGTCTGGTATCTGGTATCTGGTATCTCGTATCTGGTATCTGGTTTCTGGTATCTGATGTCTGGTATCTGGTGTCTGGTGTCTGGGTATCTGGTATCTGGTATCTGGTGTCTGGTATCTGGTGTCTAGTATCTGGTTTCTGGTATCTGTTATCTTTTATAAGTTATCAGTTTTCATTTTCATTTTCTATTTTAATTTTTAATTTTTCATTTTAATTTTCTATTTTAATTTTTAATTTCTAATTTTTAATTTTAATTTTTAATTTTATTTTTAATTTTAATTTTTAATTTTTAATTTTAATTTTAATTTTAATTTTAATTTTTAATTTTTAATTTTTAATTTTTAATTTTTAATTTTTAATTTTTAATTTTTATTTTAATTTTTAATTTTAATTTTTAATTTTTATTAATTTTTAATTTTAATTTTTAATTTAATTTTTAATTTTTAATTTTTAATTTTTAATTTATTTTTAATTTTTTTAATTTTTAATTTTTAATTTTTATTTTAATTTTTAATTTTTAATTTTTAATTTTTATTTTTAATTTTTAATTTTTATTTTTAATTTTTTTTTTTTTTATTTTTCATTTTTTTAATTTTTCATTTTCATTTTTTTTTTCATTTTTCTTTTTAATTTTTCGATTTTTCGATTTTTCGATTTTCGATTTTTCGATTTTTCGATTTTTCGTTCGATTTTTCGATTTTTCGATTTTTCGATTTTTCGATTTTTTTTCGATTTTTCGATTTTTCGATTTTTCGATTTTTCGATTTTTTTTCGATTTTCGATTTTTCGATTTTTCGATTTTTCGATTTTTCGATTTTTCGAT